GCTGCTCATGGTAAAGTTATCATTGAACATCCTCTTGATCACTGGAAGTGATGGCACCCCAGAACTGGGGCATGCACATATGAGTTCTATAATTACAAATATTTCTGCAACTACAGGATATGAGAATCTGAAAATTAAAATAATTGAAAAGTTAATGTTTCAAACGCTTTACTCTTCTCAGTAAAAAGTTAGCTCTTTTAGCTGCTTCTCTCCAACGCACTCTCATTTTAGACAGCAATATTTTCTTGTAAGTTATAGAAGTTACTTTGTAGCTCCTTTTTTGATCTGCTAAATAATTTAACATATTTAAACAACTTTTTATATTTCAAGGATACACAAATCTGCTATCTTTATGCCTCATGAGTAAATCCTACACAGGATACATGTACCAACGTAAAAAAGGGAAAAATAATTCTTCTAGTGTGAGTGAATTTCCTTTTTTTTTTTTGTTTTGTCATTTCAGCAGTCATACTTGAGGAGCTGTTAATTATTTCATGGTTATTTTGCAGATTAATGCTGTAAGTTTCATTCTGTCTTTGGCATCAGTCTATATGAAGAATAAGCATGAAAGAATGGTACAGTAAAGTTTATATGTTGGCCAACTCTGCTTTTTAGGTGTTTAATGATGGGCACAGACAGTGAATTATTACTAATTCAGCAAATTTCTTTTGATCCCTGAAATGAATCAAGATTTTTATTAATAAGAACTAGGGCAATCCCACTCTTCTTAATTATATTCACTAACTCACGATTGACATGTATTTACTGATAGCCTTTCCTTTAAGTACTATTTATGGATTATACATTTTTCATGGTTGGACCCATTTTCTTGTTTCTGAATAAAAAGCCAAAATAAGTTCATACCAACATTTCTATTTCCATATGTGCTGATCAAAATGCATATTCGTTATATCAGTTGGGGAGAATAAGACTAATGCTACTAAATTTTTTATGTGTGTGTATCCTTCATAAAAACTACAAAGTGGTAATAATAAATTCATTTGGCTGACTGCACTTGATTTTTTTATTTGCTTCATTTGAAAAAAATCTGTTACGAGTCTCAAGGGTTGTAGAGATGCCTGTGTGGGGGATTGAATGGACTCTTAGATTTGTCATGTTTCCTGGGGAAGAGCAGATGAATAGGTCCACATACAAATGATGATATCTGAGGACTGTCAAGTAAAATCATAAAATGTGCACAGCAATAATTCAACTGCGCTTCTGAGGTTATCAGAAAAAACAATATCAATCAGTTTTCAGTGAAAGCATCAATTGTTTCTGTTGTGTTTCTCTTCTGAGTTCCAGCTTCTGATATGCTGACTTCACAGAAGTCATTTCAGTGTGTCTGCATTTCTCTGTCTCTAAAAGGTGTGATTAATATATTAGATCTTATTTGTGAAGGGCTTCAAGTTCTGTAATAAGATTGCGCTATACAAATATTTACTACTGAATATCTCTTTGTCAGAGGAAAGTGGCTGAGGGGATAAGCAGTATCTGTAAAAAAAATCTTTTTGATTTTTTCATTGCAATTGATCAATCTATGAATCTTCTTAGAAGTGCAGTTACAAAGGAAATACATAAGGGACCAATATTTCTCGTTCGTGTTGCTGTGACTCATATCCAGTTCTCAGAGTCATGGTGCTGGGTTCGGAGTTGATTCTTGCATTGGCTGGCAGGAGCATTATTCCATTTTGTTGCTTCCTGATAATGACTCTCAATTATCTTTTTTTTCAACCACGTTTATAGCTGCCTTTTACAGTAGTTTAATCTAGATTATATTAACAAGGATTCTTACAGGAATGTTATGTGAAACTGAATCATGGAACTTCTGCATCTGCAAGGCTTTCTATATTGCAGTAGAAAGATATTGTTGGTAGTTTTGTCTTTATTCTTCCTTTATAATCCAGTTGACATAAGTCACTCAGAGAGTCATATTTATAATAATAAAAATATGTTGACCAGGCCTACATTTTGAAAGGTTCATGAAGCATGACCCTAGTTATGGTAAAAGTGCAACCATGTTTTTCAAATGATCACTTCTTCTGACTGAGCCTCATGAATAATTTAAAAACTATGAAATGATAATAAGGAATGTGTGAGTTAATACATGACAACAGAAACAGTTATGCCTTTTATATTTTTTATCTCCAGCTTGCAGGATGACTGGAAGTCTTTGGAACTTGATATTATTTTAATGACTCTTTCTCCCCTCATCTATTTTAACAAATATACCTAAAAGGCTGTGTGGGAACTTGGTTGTAGTACAAGATAAGAGGACTGGGGTCAACCATGTTGTGTTACTATCTCCTTTAAGTTCTTTCAATACTCTTCTTATCACTTACTCTCGTCCTTGGTAAAAAAAAAAATATAAAACACATGGAATGCCTTTACACTTACTCTCGTCCTTGGTAAAAAAAATATATATATATAAAACACATGGAATGCCTTTGTTATGGCAAAGAGAGAGAAACACCATACAATGTGACATTGGTAGATTTAGTTTATTAAGTGGACCAAGGAAAGGATATGCTGTGTCAGCAAATGACACTATCACAGAGTATCATTTCAGATATTTTTCCCTTGTTGGATTTCAATCCATAGCCTGCACCAAGGCTGGTAGTCCTCAGGTCCTGTTTTTACTGTCTTGGTGGCCGTGCTGTCAACACACAGGCAGTTTGTGTTGTACCCAGCTCTTGGCCAAGGCAAGGCTGTGGTACTGCTCTCACCTTTTATACATAGCCTGCAAGGAGGAGATTTCAAGCACATACTTCATAATAAATACATTTGACAAGAGTTAGAGAATGAATAAAAATTGCGGAGGAGAAAAGATGTCTTCTGCTCCCATGAGTACCAGTGTGAGTAGAATGTTTTTCTGTTTATTTTTCCGGATAACATTTTAGTAACTATTCAGAACATTTAAAAAGCCTTGCAATTCATTCTGAATTATATTAGTCCTGGCCTGCTATAGAAGCATTAGAAGATTGTCATGCTCTCGAGACTAGGTGCTTTACCTCATGATTCTTCTCACTGGCTTTTCTTTGCGAACCGTATGCAGTCTGCCAGTTAATCCTTGATTCTGCATAGCAGCACTGCTGTAAAGAAAACATTAATTATGAATCTAATGTGATTTTTCATTCCAGAAGCAGAAGTCATGCCTTTGTATTCAAAACAACTCATATAGTACATTCCAAAATTCCATCTCTATAGGTCAGATCAGCTGCATTTTACTTGTTATACTAAATCTACTTAAGTGCATGTAAGCTCTGGATAATTCTTGTGATCTGATGTAGGGACAGAAGTAGAAAACAAAATTTTTTCAGAACACTTTGTCTATTTACAAATAAATATAAAATCAATAAGTGTATGTATTTTCAGACCAGTGAAATTTAACATATATGTTGTTTCAACTACCAGTATTTCTTTATATATTTAGCATTCAAGTTATGTACCTCATGTCAGAAGACTTATTTATACTAATCTAGATATAATACCTACCAAACATATTAAAAAGTACACTCTTTACATATAAATTTACAAATATATCCATATCCCTATTTTTTTTTTAAGTGACCTGTTAGAGCTTTGAAAGAGGATATACTGTAGAAAAGCTGCACTTAGCCCTTCTCCAACCACTCTCCCATGTGTTTTGACATGGTTAGCTCTGATGGTAAAAATCTATAGCTGGTGTCTGGTAGTAGGAAAGCAGACAGAGGTCTGCTGATTTATTTGATTCCAGCTGCACCTGTCTGAAGTTCTAAGATACAACTCAACTAAAATGACATTTTTTTAAAAAAAAAAAGGTCACTGTGCGGTTTTTAAAGTGAGTTCAGCATTTTACAGACATATGGAAACGTGAGGCCTTCCTCAAAGAGCTGGTAGTAAGAACACACAAAAGATACCAGCAAAAAATGGGAGAGGTGAAGGAAAGGGAGAGAGCAAGCAGAGACGTGTGGTTTCCGTAAGTTCCTCACACTGTATCCTCTTGGTCAGGACTTAATAACCTGTTAGTTGGAGCTCATTTTGGGAGGATTTGGGGATTGCACAAGACTTTCTTATGAGATGTTTGGGTGGGAACAACGGTGGGAGGGTGGAGGAGAGACCCTCGCAGCCAGGGTGCCGGAGGGGGCGCATCTCAGGGGACATCAGTGGCAGATGTGAGGCCGGACAGATCTATATAAATATGTTTTCCACTATGGCCTGTTATTTAGATTAGCCAGAGAGGGGAACAGAGTGAGGGCGTGAGTGTGGCTTGTGCCTGTGCAAGTGCTGAGGGTTGTCCTGTGAGCCTGGCCAGGTCTGTCTGTACTGTGAGAAGAGCCACAAGCGTCATGCCAGACCCAAGGTGGATGATTTGATCTCTTTTTTGTTTGACATCTAGAGACCCAAGCCTTACACTCCTTAACTGTGGCTCTCCGTGGGAGGCTTAATTTGTCTTCTGTGCCTACATTTGGCTGGGGTTGCAGTTTTACCTCCATGATGTTTCTTTGCACAGTCTTCCAAGGTGTGAGACCTGAAATTACATCGATTTAGCCTAGAGTATGGATCTTATCATTATTGAAGCCAACAGTTGTTCCATGAAACAGAGTAAGTTTATGCCAGCAAATGAAAAAAGGAGAAAATTCTGTCAATTCCTATTGTTCTAAGTGAATAAAGCAGAAATGTGGGAGAGTTGTCTTAAATCTTAGCTTTACACACCATCCATGTGTAATTCCAAGCAGCTTAGTTAGGCTCACAGTGTTTCATGTTCTTTTACCTGAAAAGGCAACAGTTTTTCCTAAGCTTAATGGGGCATAGGTTTTTTGTTTGTTTGTCTTTAATTATTTAACTGTTTATGCAAATGGTAGTCATTGAACATATAATGTCTGTGGTAGCCTAACAGTTCAAGTAAATGGTTTAAGTTCATTACTGAATGCTGCCAGACAGGTAGAAAGACCAAATATTGAGAATCTTGCGATGTTCTGAGTTTTTGGATGTAATGAAAAATTCTGTACACATTCTAGGTTAAACTGTGTGGAAATATGAAGGAACTTGGAGTGAATGCCATCAGTGGCAAACACTGACGCAGGAACATTACTAGCTTCACATTGCAAATATTACAAATGCTTAATTTTAATGTTATATCATCTCTGACATGAGTTATCTAGTGAAACTAAACAAAGTTTTCAAATCAAATTTAGCTTTGCTGGATTGTGTTTGTAGTACAAGGATTTTTCTGCCACTAGGGTGAGAAATGAGAATTTTGCTGCTGTACATGTCAGGTTGAATTTAAAATGTCCTAGAAACTAAATATCCTTTATTTTCTGTGCTACACAACCCTGATCATTCATACTGAATTACTGCAGGATTTACAGTTTTAGCAGACAAGTCCTAAGGAAACAGATGATCTGTGCACCTGCCAAGCAGCAGTGACATCCCTCACAGTGAGAGTGAACTAGCTGCTACAGTCATCTTCATGCACTGTGCAGAGTTAATCCCATTGTAGGACTCTGTTGAGATTCAGTCTGTTTCCTATTTCAGTATGAAAAAGTATTTTAATTTCGATTTGGTCAAAGAAGGTTTATGAAGGATAATATCTCTTGAATACAGTTTTCCTATATTTCTCTCTGCTGAGAGAGATGCTTTTTGCTTTCATTTTTCTCTTCTAAAGAATCTATTTATGAAAGGTTTTATGAACATCCTCAGAGATCAAATTTTGCACAGTTAACATTTAATTAACAGACATTCCAAATGGAAAACAGGTTTCTGTCTAAAGACTTTTCAATTTGTATACAATTACTTTCTAAGACTTAAATCAAATGAACTCTGCATTTTTGCTTAGGAAGTCTAGGAATGGGACTTGAATACTGAGATTTGTAAGCTGAGATTCAGTTCAATTTTGACAAGTAAATATAGGTGCTGATATCTGTTTCAGCCAACAGAGGTGCAGTTAGTGCTATTAGTGAATCCTATTGAGCTGACAAAGAGTTCAAGTCAGTTGCCTAAACGTGGGTGTGTATTTGAGAAGACTTATATCATCCTACACACCGGAAGGCTGCAAGATAGGACTCAAATAGAGAAAGAGCTTCTTTCCTGTGAGGGTGACAGAGCCCTGGAACAGGCTGCCCAGAGAGGTTGTGGAGTCTCCTTCTCTGGAGATCTTCCAAACCCACCTGGCTGCCACCCTGTGCCACGTGCTCTAGGTGTCCCTGCTGGAGCAGGGGGGTTGGACTAGATGATCTCTAGAGGTCCCTTCCAGCCTCAACCATTATGTGAATCTGTGATTCTGTATAAATATCTGAGCTTTTAGCTAGCAAGCTATGCATTTGCATCTGTGCTAGTATTACAGCTTGCTATGGATTTGGAGGCACACTCCTCAGTTCCTCATTTTTCACATGAGCTAAAGCTTGTCCCACTTGAGGTACTGGTAATGACCACTCTTGTTTTCTCAGCCAGGTACAGCCTCCTTGAAAGTTAGAGGGTTTCCTTCTGAGGAGTTCCTAACCCTTTGTGTACCTACTTTGCTTGGATGTTTCCTGGGCATTTGATTTTATGTATTCAAGTGTGTCTAAATATGTTTTATTCTTTTTTTTTTTTTTCTCAGTTCATTTACAGTACTCTTTACCTAAAGTACAAATACTTAATCTATAAATTCTGGACATCAAAAATGTACCTCTCTGTATGAGTTTAAAACACTAGATAGTGGCTGTTACAAAATCTAAGCTAGATATATTTAGCCTTACTGATGGCTCTGTGCCTTTTTGATTCTTTAACTCAAAACATTTCAAAAGAAAAATCTTGTGAAAAGCTTTAAAGATAGGCAGAGCACTATATCACTTTATTAAATCTGTTAGCAACTTAATGAAGTATATCAAAGGCTCAGTATGGAAGATTGTTCCATATTAATAGCATAGGTGTTGACTGAATTAACAAATTGACTGTATAAGTACTGGAAACACTTTAGCTTAGCTTGTTTTGATTAATTATGGGGTGTTTTGATTTATAATGTATTTTGATTTATAATAATTTATAATTGTCAAGAATGAATAATAAATAACATTTCAAATTCAGATATTTTTGACCTATGCATTATAATCTTGTATTTTAACTACAACATAATTTTAAATGATGGTATACAGCGGCTGTTGTATGATTTCTTTTCTCCTACATACTCCAGTGTCATTTTCATTGACTCTTGGTGCAGTGCAGAAATGAAAGAATTATTAGCTAATGCTTGTCACCTTCTAAGCTTAAGCATTTTCTTGAACTTAATACATGTGTAAAAAAAAAAAGAGTTCTGAATAGTGATTCACACCATTAAATTCCTCTTGAACTGCCATAAAAGGTTTGGCTGCTCATCTCCTTTCAAAGCAGAAAGTGTTCAGTGGCGTAATAGATTTTCTGTGATCTACAGTGACAGGTTTTATAGGTATTAAGCATCAGAAGGCTTTTCCTAGTTCTGCATTACAGGTATGATCACTTTAAGACCACTGAAAATGGTGAAATTGCTGAAGCTCTCATATGTGAACCTTCAGCAGTATTACAGCTCAGTGGTATTATGTTAAATGAGGAACCAAAGGCAGAGTGAACTCCAAGGAGATAATAAAAAGTAAGTGTATTATTTAGAGTCAGTAAATAGAAGCTAATTCTGAATTTTCCTCTGCAGTCCCATCAATAGTTGTGTTCTCGTATACAGCCATAAGGAATTTCAATAAGGTCACAATATATATGGGGCCATTATTGGAAAATACTCGGTTGTGACTTCTTGAAGTAAGAGTATAAAATAGAAAGGAAAGGTCTTAGTTCACAGCAAATCCTCCTGTGTCATGTTCATAGACTAATGAAATGTTGTGCAGCTGGGTAAGTATCAGAATAACTAGAAGCACTTAGAAGCTGTGATTATGTTTTTATGGCTTGCTTTAGTATCATACTGTACTCCACAAACAGTTCAGTTCAGTGGAGGAGCATTAGATTCACTCATCCGTTATAGTCGGATGGAGGAAAAAGTTAAACATTCCCTTGTTTAGTCTGCAGGATTTTATGCTTTGGGTCTGGTCTTAATCCCTTTGCAGCATATTTAGTCTCATGAGTTATTTCACTTTGTCTTAGTGCCTCAGAGAAAAAAAAAAAAAAATCTTGTCCTTTATCATTAGACAGAGTATCTATAGAATAGGAAGATTAACTTGCTAAGGAAATTCTTTTAAAGAGAGCCTACACATATGTAGGTTGTAAATGAATTCTCCTTTTTTTCATGATTATAGTCCCATATTCTTACACCTTTTTTGAAGATCTTACTTGACATCAGCAGTAATCTGAAACCTTAGGCTAGAATAGTTTAAGGGTGAGATTTGAAAGGCCAGACTGTGAAAGAATCGATATATTTATGTAAACAAAACTTGCTGACAATGAAAGAAAGAAAAAAGAGAGAGAGAGGCTGTACCTTTATCATTCTTGTTGCTTCTAAATAATTCACTCTTTTCTGTGGTAAAATAGGATAATTTGCTTTCAACAGACACTGTTCTCTGTTCTCACTGTTCTCAAATGTAGATTGCATTTGACTTTGGAAATCAACCTCTACCAGGAAAGTGTGAAATTTTCACCACTTTTTGTTTGGTTGGTTGGTTTGTTTTTTGTTGTTTTTTTCCCCTTGTATGATGAAATGCCATTTCTCTGACGATCAGATCTCAGTCTAGAGAGGGTTAAACTCCCTTGAGAAGGACCCCTCTGTATGTTCAGTGAAGCTCGTAACTATAACTTAAGCACCATTCCGTCACAGTGAAGCAGCAGTAATATCATGTCAGAAAAGAGTTTAATATATAATGAAATGCCCCACGGGTACTTCAGGGCAGTGCGTAGTCAACCACAGCATTAAGATTAACCATTTAGTCCAGAACAGGGAAGGCAATGGAGCATCTGGGTGACAGGCAGTTATCCCAGGTTTATGTATTGCAGAGAGCAGATTTGCTGGCAGCAGTTGTTTTTCTTTCTCTACAGCTCCTTCAGGAGGAGATGTGTTATAGGGAGGGCTGTGTGTGCGCTGGTGGTGGCTGCAGGGCGAGGGAGCAGGCCCAGGTGCGGCCTGCCTGCCTCAGGCGGGGAGCGCAGGCCGCCCTTGCGCTGAGGGCCGCTCTCGCTGCCGCTGTGGCAGGCAGCCCTCCGTGCAGCTGCGGAGCGCTTCCTGCAGCCTCCTGACACCACGGAGAGCTGCCGCGAAAAGTGTGCGGTGTGTAGGTCACGGAGGAGGTGTTTCCAACCTGCAGACAGCAGGCAGGGGCTTGTCTTCCCCTGAGCTGAACAGTCAACAGCAGATGTGGGTCATCTTGGCCATCGTGCTCGGCAGGTCTCTCAGTCTGAACCCACAGCATGGGAACCAGAAAAGCGCAGAGTTGGGCATTTTCTTGAGATGCAGTGGAAATGTATATGCCAGCCTTACTGCTTTATGCAGGCACCTGCTTCACAGTCATATTTGAAGTATTCTATATACTGGTGCCTTAAATGTGTACACACTGTTCCTGGAAGCAAAAACAAGTCCTTAAAATGTCACTAACAATGTCTCTCTCTCCAGCATCAGTGGCTCAAAGCTAGTCACTTCTCCAATGATGCAGTGTTAGGTGCTCCAAGAACCCTTCAAAGTCGTACGGGAAGCTGGGGAGAGGCTTCACTGAGCAGATCTAGTCTGCTGGCTGCCAAGGGACTGACACAAGCTGAGCCGGAGGAGTAAGGTGACTAGAAAGGCTCTCAGCAATCAAAACAGAGGCAGTCAAACTCTTAATCACAAGCGAGTGCAGAGACAGAACTAAAATACCAAGCAAATCGAACTGCCAATGGGTACTGGATGTGCTAAGCAGCTACAGCGTCATTGGTGTATATGTGAACTAGCTATTAACCACTACTGCATTTTTTTTCTTGCCTTAAAAATTAATAATGAGAAAATTTGCTGACTTAAATGTAGCCATTCTTTATTGCCATTCTTCTCAACAGCAGTTGAGTTTTGTCTGTAGTAAAGAAGCCATGAGAGTTTTCACCAAAATATTCCAGAGTCTGCTTTTGCTACTAAAAAAAAAGCAGTTGAAGAAACTGTCTA